TTTACATCTATGTTCCTTAGGATTATTGGCCTGTAGTTTTTTTTTTTTTTTTTTTTTTTTTTTTTGAGACAGAGTCTCACTTTGTTGTCCAGGCTAGAGTGAGTGCCGTGGCATCAGCCTAGCTCACAGCAACCTCAAACTCCTGGGCTCGAGTGATCCTTCTGCCTCAGCCTCCCGAGTAGCTGGGACTACAGGCATGTGCCACTATGCCCGGCTAATTTTTTATATATATATATCAGTTGGCCAATTAATTTCTTTCTGTTTATAGTAGAGACGGGGTCTCGCTCTTGCTCAGGCTGGTTTTGAACTCCTGACCTTGAGCAATCCGCCCGCCTCGGCCTCCCAAGAGCTAGGATTACAGGCGTGAGCCACAGCGCCCGGCCTGGCCTGTAGTTTTCTTTTGTTTCTTTTTTATTTTTCTTTGTAATGTCTTTGTCTGGCTTTGGTATCAAGATAATGAGTTTGGAAGACTTTGAGGATTGACATTAATTCTTTGAATGTTTGGTAGAATTTGCCAGTGAAGCCATCGGGGTTTTTCTTTGTTTGGAGATTTTTAATTTCTGACTCAATCTCCACAGAAAAATCTTTTTCCATCTCTTTACTTTCAGCCTGTGTGTATCTTTAAATGTAAAGTGAATCTCTTGTAGACATTATATAGTTAGACATTATTTTTTTAATTTGTCACCTTAGATATTTTGATTGGGGAGTTTAATCCTTTTATATTTAAAGTAAGTATTGATGGAGAAAGATTTACCATTGCCATTTTGTTCATTGTTTTCAATTTGTCTTGTAGTTAGTTCTTTTGCCCTTTTTTCCCCCATCTTCTTGTTTTACTTTGTGTTTTTTTGTTTTTGTTTTAAAATATGCTTTGATTCCTTTCTCTTTTTCTTTTGTATAACTTCTGTAGGTATTTTCTTTGTGGTTACCATGGACTTACATAAAGTATTAACATTTTATAAGTTTATTTTAAGGTGATAACTTCAATCACATACAAAAGCTCTACACTTTTAATTCTCCCCTACCACACTTTACATTATTAATGTCACAATTTACATCTATTTATATTGTGTATCCATAAACATATTTTTAGTTATAGTTATTTTTTACTTTTGTCTTTTAACTTTTATACTAGAACTAAAAGGGATTTCCCAACCACTGTTATGGTAATACAGTAGTCTGTATTTGTATATATATTTGTCTTCATCAATGAGTTTTATGCTTCCTTATGCTATCATGTTGCTGTTTAGCAATAAAGATATATAGAGAGTATTTCCTTATAATTCTATTTCCATTTTGCTCTTTTCTTGGCTGGCTTCTCGACTCTTCAGTCTCAGTCTAAATGTCATCCTTTCAAAGGCCTTACAGTCTGAGGTAGTTTCAACCTGACTCTTTTATGGTGCCCTTTTCTTTTCCTTAATGATTATTTAAAATATATATTTGTGAATTTACTTATTTTATGTCTGTCATTCCAATTAGACTAAAAACTCCACAAGAGTGATCCATTTTGTTCACTACCACATACCTGGTGGCTAATACAATGCTTGGCCCATATTTGTTGAATTGAATGAATGATTCTCCAAAAACATGTTTTTATCCTAAGCAAGAACCTACAGATAAGATTTCATATTATCTAAAGGTTTCATGTTATCTAGAAGACTATGTGAACTTCTTAGGGCTAATCCTAAATTCTTCTTCTATTTCCTCTCTGCACCTATTGTTGACTACTGTTTAGCTGGCCAGTCAATCCAGTCACTGCTTTCATCCTATACATGTGTCTTTTCTTTGTTGTTCCCTGTCACCTCTTCCCTTTATGTTAATTTTGGACCAAAGCATCCACTGGGGACAAACCTCAGACTCACATCTTCTAAGAATCTTTCCCGCTCCCAGGCAATACCATTCTCACAGCTCCCTTGCTCTGTGTTTCCATACCACTTATATATAATCTGTACCATGAGAACAGTGAATTTTACTAAATAATGCCTTGTCATTGTCAGCATTTTTCATAAGTCAGTTAACCATGTGGAGAATATGGCTATAATTGGACATGGGGGATGAGAAATTCACCAAGAGCTAATTAACCATTTAGTGAATTGGTCATTCTGTGAATTTACTTCTAGCCAGGAAGAAAGATCTGGAAAAACCATAAAGGGCTTTATAGGACATGATAAAGAGTTAGATGTTATTGAGTATATTAAGAAATCACTGGAAGATTTTGACAGAAGTGTAGTATGAACTGATTTATGTCTTTAAAAAACAACCCCTGGCTGCTCTGTGAAGTTGTGTTGTGGTGGAGCAAGATTGGAAGTGGAAGGCAAGGGGCTTTGATCAGAACTGATGGAAGATGTGAGGCAGGAGGGAAAGAATCAAGGAGGACTCTTGGGGTTTTGGCTTGAATGGTATTGCCGTTTATTAAACTGAAGAAGAATTGGAAGGAGCCAATTTGAGGGGAATTCAGGAGTAAGTTTTTGGACAAATTAGGTTTGAGTTGCCCATTAGACATCAAATGAAGACCTTGAGTGGGCAGTTGAATATGAGTCTGAGGGTCAGGGCTGGAAATAGAAATTTGAGAGTAATCAGGGTGTTCATTGATAATATTTATAGCTATAGGTCTGGTAGAGCAGTGAGTGTGGACTGAGAACAGACACGGCAAATGCCCACAGCCTGGGCTAGTCCAATATTCAGAGCACTGGAAGAGGAGATGCCAGCATCATGAAGGCTGGGACTATAACCTCTCCTTTTGTATCTCTCAAAGTGCCTGCTTCAATGTTGGACTCAGTGAATGTTTCTTGAACATTCACTGAAGAAATGAATGCACAAATAAATTCCTGGAAAAGTAAATAGGAATATTGCCATACCATGTATGTCTTCTGACTATGTCCATGTCCAAAATAGTGTGTCTGCCACAGTCTCAGTGGCATGCTGCAACGGAAAGTTCCACACCTGGCAAGTACCTACTGGTAGTTTGTGTGTGTGTGTGTGTGTGTGTGTGTGTGTGTGTGTGTGTGTTTAACACATTATAAATTACATGTTTTAACTGAAGGCTTCTCTTCTTCCCTTACAGATAAATAGCTTTAACTATTATTTGGCAAATGGAGAAATGTCTGAGCCAGTATGTTCCTGGGATATAATGGTTGTTTTTTTTCCCCATTAAAAGACACCAACGTTAATCCTAGGCAATCCATCAAAACCATATATTTTCAAGTGCCAAGCAGAGTGAAATGACTTTGGCCAATTTGAAGCAAATTGCTCTATTTCTTTTCCCTTTGAGTTGAGGTACATGCACTTAAAATTCCTCCTGGAGTACACCCAAATTACAAAAGCAAACAGTTCAAAACTGAAGATGTGAAGGAATAAGCAAGAGAATCTTAGGTAGTTATCCATTGCAGGTTTTTTTTTTTAATTCTATTTTGTGTAATTAATATGTTCCTAATGTTGCATGATACCATTCATATCCCAACAGTGGTGTAATGTTTGAAAGATCAATGCAGAGGATACCGAATTAAGAGCAAGGCATTTCCAATTAAGCAATAAATCACTGCCACCATCATTTGGTAGGGCATTGCATATTTTGATTTAGTGAGGGTATTTGGCATAGGCAAGCTTTTGAATGGCTGAAGTTAAATGGAGTCTTAAAAAGAATTATCCCATTGAATGGCCAAAACTAACAGGGCTCTGTAGTTTAAGTATTCAGACATTTATGGTGCAACACATCACAGGCAGCTGATGTCAGTTCTGGGAACTGGTATTGAGAGCAGTGGAATGAAACAGAGTTGATGAGTTAGACAGAAAGGGCAGTCCATTTTCAGATTTCTTTCAAAAAGCAGCAGGAGAGAAGCAAGGCTGCAAAAGCAAGTGGAAACTCCAGCCTAGCACTTGACATTTGAAATATCAAAATTATAGTGGGGAGAGATTAAACTTGCTGCCCAGCCTGAAATATTTCCCATTTCATCTTTCTTGGAGGCTGAAAATCACTGTTATTTTAAAAATTCTTTTTTTGTTATTAACTGTCCTAGAACAGGCTTGTATTACAATGACTGAGTCCTGAAGTGAAGTTTCACAAAGCATGTGTTCAAGGAATAGAAGTATTAAAAAGTAAATAAGCTTTTTGTATATCCTTAAAACAGATATATCAGCCTAAATACCCGAGATACCCGTGTCCCTGGAGAAACAAAGTCCACATCTTCCCTGAAGCTGATATGCCTTCAGGCCTCTCAGGGCATGCTAGAAGACGGTATATATGTTCACTCTTGCATCATTCTAACCTGACCACAATAAATCATCATCATTGGAGAAAAGAACCAGCATTTGGGAGAGTTTTTCATAGCCTGTATAACTAAGTTCAGACATTTCAAAGAGGAATTTTTCTAAGCCCCAAAGGAAAAAAAACTGTTCTCTTTATCTTAGCAGCACAGACGCTGTGCTGTGCTCCATGGTGAGGACACCAGGGATGGATTCAATGAATTCCCTCTTTGTATCACATTTATACCAGTTTCTTTTCAGGAATCGGGGTTTTTAAAAGCAAAAAAAAAAAAACAAAAAACAAAACCAAAAACAAAAAACACATTTGCTTACTTAGACATTGCAGTTAGCTTCATGGAGAGTAGATAATATAAATATATACAGGCTGCACTCAAAACTGTCTTATATACCCCATCACCCTCACCGAGTTCTGAGGGGCAGGATAACAAGCCCTGTTGTGTGGACCTACATTCAGAGTGGATTTGGGCATAAAAAGTAATAGGGAGGAATCTGCCTCTTTTTAAAATGATGGATGATTCAATGACTTTCGTAGTCAAGGAATAGATACTTTCCATTCCGATTCTTTGCCCTTATCTTAGGAAGCATCATCTTTCTCAAAGTGCAGGCAGAGGGTCTTTCTTTGTCTCTGTCTTTCTCTTCTGACTCAATACACGCATGCATTTCTGCCCTAATCTACTGCAGCAGTTTGAAGTAGAGAAAAATAAGCTAAAATGTTTTTTATAGAGGAAAAAATTACATACCCTTCTTCTCCTTTCCTTTTGATCTTCTTGTCAGAGGAAGCTTCTTAAATGCTTCAACTCACTGGGTGAGTTTGGGCAAAAGGAGATGAGAGGAGGTGCTGGAAGGAGGTGCTTCACAAATGAACCTTTGTCTGCCTTGTCTCTTGCCTGGAATCCCCACACAGACTCTGCTCTAGCCAGGACTGGGGAGAGGAGGGGCGTGAAGGAGACAGGACTGCAAGAACTGCCTCCCTTGGATCCTTCCAAACCAGGCGAGAGCGGACTGAACAGCTTCTTTACAGAGGGAAATAACTAGTCTATACAAGGACCTCAGGGAGGCAAACTCTTGCAGCAATAAAATATGAAGGCTGAGGGATTTAAAAAGAACATAGAGTGATTTTTACCTTAAAAAAAAGTGGAGGGGGGAAGGGGAGAGAGAAAGAAGCAGCAGAACAGAAGAGGAGGAGGAGGTGGAGGAATAGCTAGCTGAGAACCTCTTCCCCTTTCACAGTTGGTGTTTCCACCAAGTTTTCCTCACTATCTAGATCTCTTATAACATTTGGATAGAAGATATATTCCAATTCATATTCCACCCCTCTCATTTCCCACCCAAAGAGTCATTACGAGTGAATTGAAAGCAAAAATAAATGACTAAAAAAGGAATCTGTCTTGTGTCTCAGAAATGCAGGCACCAAAGGCATCTCCTTCTGTTTTGTGCAAACTGTACTAGAATTCTAGCATCTGTTAACTATCTTTCAGGTTTTTAAAAAAAATTCAATTAGGAGTAGCGTTCTGGGAATTAGAGACGTTATAATGGAGTAGGAATGATCTAGACAGAAATTGGAGGAAAGGGCATTCCAGGTTGCATTAACAAAGGCGTGAAGGTGAAAGAGACGGTGGCAACTTCGGGAATTATAGGTAGTTTCATGTGGCTGGAACCAGAGATGACGGGAGATGAAATTAGGGGGCTAGAAAGAAGCAGGCTGATCAAGTACCTCCTATGACATGCTAAAAATTGTAGATTTTATCCTGAAGGTGAATGGAAATGATCGAAACATGTTTAAAAGGATGCACACCTGACTGCAGTGTGAAAGAAGGATGGTGCAAGAGCACAGAGACAAGAGACAGGGAGAACATGGGCTCCTGCAGGAACCTAGAAGAGAAGATTGTTGAGAAGACAAACTGAAAAGACTTGATGACCAAGTAGGCATTTATGTTTAGGGTGGGGGTAAGAGACTTTATTTAAATTTTCGAAGGCTTGGGTCCTCAGAGGGATGCTGCTGCCATTCATCTAGGAAAAGAATATAAAGAGCTGTCATTCATCTAAGAGAAAGAATACAGGAGTTTTGGCTGCAGCAGAAGTGGGAAGATAGAAGCAAGTTGGTTGGTGAATGCTGAGTTTAAGGAGCCCCGGAGGCAACTGGGAATGACTGGTAGGCAGTTGGGTAAATGCACCTGGAGCTCAGGAGAAAGTCTGCTCTATCAGAGTTTATCAACTAATCAAGTAAATATCAAATGATATCAACTAAATAACTAATAGCGTTATCTAACTAAATGATAGTTGAAGCCATAGCCGTATGACTTAAAACTTGCTGGGCTCTTACTGTGCGCCCAGGCACTTCCTGTGTCTGAACTCCTTCACTCCTCCTCCGACCCTGTGAAACAGGTGCTATAATTAGTCCCATTTTACCCATGAGGAAACGTTAGAGATGTTAGGTAAGCTGACCAAGATATCACACACAGCCAGAAAATGGCAAGCCCTGGCAGTGTGGTTCTGGTGTCTTTGCTTTTCAGCATTACGCTGTGCTGCCTCTCAGAACAGATCATAGGCCTGACAATGGGGCTGAGAGCAGAATCTTAGGGACCGCGGGTATTTAGGGATGGGCCAGTCACTGGGGAGGAACCTGACGAGGGGTATCCAAAGAAGTGGTGGGAAAATTAGGAAAATGTTGTCATGGAAGTCAAGGGAAGAGTATTTCAAGAGGAGTGGCGGTAAGTAGAAGGCCCCTGGTGCTGGCGGTTTTGGGGAAGCGGTATGTGCACACCCCAGTATGGAGGTAAGTGGAGCAAAGTGAAGGTTGACAAAGCCAGAAGCACTTGACAGCCCTGAGAGAGATTTAATCTCTGCTTGGTCACCATTTTATTGAAGCTGGAGAAAGCGGCAGGGACTTCAGGAAAGGAGATGAGAGCTGGGTGTGCAACTGACTACATAGGTCCTTTGCCTATTTGTAAACAAATCTCCTGTGATCCTTACTAAATAAAGGTTATTAAAGGTCATGCCACAGATGGGGTTCACTTGTTTGCATGATTTAAATGTATAGGCATAGGTAGGTATGAAGAGGAAAGTGGAAATCAGTCTTCAGTCCATCTTACGAGCTACCTGCCTTGTTTACCTTGTGTAAATCTAGACCAGAAGTAGAGTGCCAAGCCAAACCCATATTCTGTGTCAATGAATCCTCTTTCCTCTTTGTTTAACTATTATTTCCCTATGTGTCTAAGTCCTTTATTTTCCTTATTATGCAGCTCACTTTGTCTCTTTTTGTGTCTGAATTCACAGCTGCTCCAAATAGTCAATTCACTTTTATATACAGCAATACTCAAATCCATACAACATACTGGCATCGTGCTTCTTGCATGCTGGCTTCAGTGGTACACGGCAGCTCATGCTGACGGTGTGACCGTCTCTGAACTACGTTCCAAGTCACTTAGGAAAGTTTTCCCCTAAGAAGCACATTTGGATCCTGGCTTCCTAGTCCCTTGTGTGTTTGCAAATATTTATTTATTAGCAGCTTGGTTTGCCATTGTTTCTAAGGAGTATTATAAAACATTGATAAATTTTAGAATGCTTGCTGTTATTCGTCCTGATGTCCCTTACACAGAGTTGCCGATTGGAGAAGCAGTTGAATTGCAAACCAAGGCCTGCAATTGGAGAGTCTGCCCTGGTGACTTTTACTTTGCAGCTCAAATCTGAAACCACTATTTGTTTTCTTATACCGGTACATGGAGCCTTAAGGCAATTTTGTTTTCTTTCCTAACGAGGTTACTGGGACCTCTTGTCCAACCCTGCTTTATGTTGCTCAGGAGACCACCTGTCTCCTTAAGATAGAACCTCCCAGAGTGAAACTCTTATGTGACATAGAGTCTATATTTTAAGTAAGGGCATCCAAATATATTGTCCAGATTTCTAGAAAATATGTCCAGCTATATTTTTAGTTTTTTATGTGATGATATGTGTGTCTGTATGTTTTATTTATATAGGTGCATGTTATCATTCTTAGGTCCAAACAGGTTTGTTACAAATAGAAAATCCTCACAATTTAATGACAGAACCAATTCATTAATAGAGAAACCTTTGGTATAAAGCTTAAGTAATTGCATTCAAAGTACTGGTATTAAATCTGAAAAGCAATCCAATTAGTATTTTCTAAAACACCACCAACAGCAAAATCCTTCCAACCAAATGAAGTCTCAAGAGATACCTCAGATATAAATAATCTCAGACTTTGGACATCTTAAGCATGTGAAAAAAAAATGGGAAAACGCATAAACTCTTCCTCTGATTTCCACCTGGGAGCTCATGCATGTGCCCTGATTTAGAATCTGCTGCTCCCTGTTCCATAACTGACCCGTTTCTGTCATTCCCTCAGGCTCAAGTCCTTCTGGAGTCACCGAGGCCGGCAGTGTGTGCAGAAGTAGCAGCTGGTTTCAGCCTTTGCAATTCAGCCCCTCCCAGGAGAGAGGTAGGAGTGACTATCCTCCGCAAAAGGAGCTTCAAAATAATTACGCTAATTAAGAGCTAATTCAAAATATGTTTGTTGAAATAATAGTGAACTACAGACAAAATTACCTTTGAAAACTACCTCTAAAATCTTTCATCAGTTAAAAAGCAACAAGCTGTTTTATTAACTTAATTATTTTTGAGCTCAGTAAAAGAGTTTTCCATGTGATTCAAACTATTTAAAATTTCCCTTAAGATTTCCGCCAAACCTGGAACATTGGTGCCTAGAATGGTTTTTGCAACTGGGTTGAACAACTAACCTCTATTACCCAAGCTTAGCTTTATGCCACTGCAGTGAGACTTGTGAAAACAGACTCCACCGAGGAGTCTCCAGTGAGATCCTTGAGGGGACAGCAAAATTACCAAGTAGCTGTTGTGTGAGATGTTGAACTGATGCTGCTACAACTACGGAAAGAGAAACACCTCCAAGGGGCATTCGTATGGGAATGCAACTTTGATGGCATGATGTCCTTGGGAACTGCCAGGATTTGCAGACTGGCAGCCCTGGCTATGATGGGATAGCAAGGAGAGTCTTCTTGTTCAAAAGAGTTTAGTCAGAATAGCAAACACAAGCCCTCTTTTAACTGGTGTAGAGAGTAAGGCACCCCCTGGGAATGCTGGACTCTTGAAGAATTTATACATGGAGGTTGTGAGTACCGTGAGTAACATGAGCTTTAAATAGAATAGAAATAAAGTCGGAAAAATGACCATCAGGAGAGAAGTGTGTCAAGAAAAACTGTCCAGTTTTAGGAGCTCATGGAAATTTTAGAATGAATGATGTGAACGTAAAAATAAACTTTGGCAGGAAAAGAGGCCAAGAAGGAAAGGAACTTGAAAATAACCTCTTTAGTTTCCTGGCAGTCTGCAAGGGGCATTGGACTGGTGCGTGGAATCACAGCCCAGATCCCAGCAATAATTTTGTGATTTGTTGGAGACAACCTGACTCACCAAACCTAGAAAGATGGAAAGATTGATCAAATGTGCCAAAGTGTGTTCTTTTGCAGGTCCTCAGTTACTGCCCTAATCTTCCCAAAGTTGTTTCATGGGTTCAAGCATCTGGTGGGTTGATAATGATAATAGTAATGATACTAGCAATAATGATGATATTAACTGTCATTGCCAAGTGTACTAAACACTTTATAAATGTTGTCTTATTTAGTCCAAGCAACTTACTTTCACGAGGTAGTTTTCAGATGGGAGAACAGAGGTTCAAAAATGTTAGGCAGCTTGGCCAAGATCACACCGCTGATAAGTAGTGGAGCAGAAACTGAGAACCAGGAAAAAATCACGCTCTTACCCTAGCGCCTCAATAAACTGTAAAAATAATAGAATGAGAGATTGGAGAATCTAAAATAACTTTTTAAAAGAGCTAATTTGAGTGTGAATGAACCACACATGCCCTCTGTGAGCCAGAAAGCCATCACGCTCTTCATGTGCCTCCTTGATCTACCTCCTGTTCGTATTTGGCTGAAATGATTCTTCCCTGGACACTCAGAAACTTAAATCAGCTGAATGGTGTTTTCTACAAAGTCAGATATGGAGAACTGCCAACACTTCAGTCCCTTGGTTCGAGTTTCCAAGTGATTATTATTCTAGGAGTAAAATTATAGTGCCAGGCACTCAGTAAAATGTGTTAAATGAAGGATGAGTTAATGAATAAATTAGTGAATGGACTAAATTCTTGGGTAGAGAAGGTTCTTGGGAATTAACTGTGTGTTGTGAATGATGCTGCAGTGTCACTGAAGATGGGGATCAGCAGTGACCCCCCCCTTTCCTCACAGCCTTCTCCAAAGTGCAGCCCACCTGGCGGGCTTGGCCACTGAACCCTACTATAAACCCTCAGTTTTCTCCCTTGTAAAATAAAGGGTTTAATGGATGATTTTTATGGCCCCTTCCATTCCTTACTTTCTGTGAGTATAAGATTCTAAATATCTTTTTAAAAAATATTAACATTTTTATTTTAGAATAGGTTTAGATTTACCAAAAAAATTGCTAACTTAGTACAGAGACTTCCTGTATAGGCTACACCCAGTTTCCTCTATTATTTGATTCTTATGTTAATGTGGTATATTTGTTCCAATTAATGAATGATATTGATATATTATTATTGTTAATTAAAGTCCACACTGTACTCATTTTTACTTAGTTTTTTACCTAACGTCCCCTTTTCTGTTCAGGATGTTCTCCAAAACATCACATTGCATTTAGTCATCATGTTCCTTAGACTCCTCTTGGCTGTGACAGTTTCTCGTACTTTCCTTGTTTTTGATGACCTTGGCAATTCCGAGGAGTGCTGGCTAAGTATTTTGTAGAATGTCTCTTAAGTGAGATTTGTCTAATATTTGTCTTATAATTATACTTGGGTTATATGTCTAAAACATAATAAGTCTACCAAAATAATCTTTCTATAATATTGTCTTCTATCAAATGACAAGTTAGTCTTTGCTTTTAATATTAATGTTCTAATGCAGGCTCCTTCTTTGGGTCTGAAATAACAAAAATTGCCCCCAGATTGTTACTGTCTTACAGAATTTTCTTTATATTTCCCCACTGTGTCTTAGCGACTTGTGCTGATTGGGCCAGCATGGTTCACGTATGTCTTGACATCAGAAAGCTTTAACAGTGTTAAGTGGTTTATTTTGTATCTTTAAGTTATTTTGTGACTATGGTTTATTTTGTGTCCCAAGTTACTTGATGTAAAACAATTGAGAAAATGGAGAAGGCCAAGTGTCAATGAGAATGAGGGGCTTAGGAATATCATAGTGGTTCAATGACCTCCTTAGAGAAATCTTGACCTTTTTTAGTGTCAGAAAATAAATGAGTCTAAAGCCATCTCAGCAAATTCTGGGATTTTCTTTCCTTACCTAAGAGGTTCTGAGATTTCTACAGTAAGAGCTTGCCACACTAAGAGGTGAGGAGTGGTTTACCAAGAAGCTTGGGAGGTCTTAAGGCTTTCGTTTAGTAGAAGGAATTCAGGAGAGAATTCCTGCGAGTCTGATTCTCTCAGAAGCAGACCACGCCTTATTGTGCATTAGGTGGGAGCTTCATGTCCCTTTTAATATACAGACTTAGAGCAGAGAAAGTCTTCCTTCTCCTCTCCCCATGTGGCGGGGAACATGCTTCAGATGCTCGATCACCTCTGGTACCATAGAATCCCTTCCTGTCCTTTGCTCTTTCTCTATTTTTCTCTCTTTTTCTCCCTCTCTCCTTGCTCCTGTGAAACTCCATATCCTTCCAGGTTGTGACTACCTCTCAGTTAGGGAGAAATCTGATAAACAATCTAGGCCAAATTATTTATAACCAATGATTTTTAAGTGTTCTAACTTCCCAGAAACATTTGTAGTGATTTGAAACTGTTTTTTGTGTTTTTTTTTTTTAAGCTGGAGAAGCAGCAAGATAGACTGAGACAATTACCCCCTAGATCTTTGATAGTTCCCTGAGTACTCTTAATTAGGTCAATATAGGGCAAGCAGATACACATGTCACTGGGGAAAGACTACTTTGCGGCCCTGTAAAGGTCGCTGTTTCCAGTATTCCCCTGACATGCCAAATTAAACTTACCTATGGCCAAGGATCCTCCGGGAGGGAAGGAATCAAGCCCCTATCCCCTTCTCATTTGAGATTCAACTTAATTAAAACTTGCTGAAGAGCTGAGATAGCCCTGACTGAGATCCTCCAAGAAGAGAGAGGAAGTCTGCCTCCCTGACGGGCCCCACACCGGGGCCTAGAGGTTTGCGGAGGACAGCTTGTTCCAGATACTGCGTGGGCTGCGGCTAGAAACCCAGTTATGCTCGGCCACTTTGGCAAAGCTGTCCTGTTTGGGCAACAGTGGCTGATTGTATGAATATAAATCCAAGAAGCTGGCATCTTGGGAGTCCCTGTGCACAGCTGCTCCACCGCCCGCAGAGGGTTCTGCAGCAGCAAGGACATCCCCACCGCAGCTCCAGGACTGCCAGAGCCGGTTTTCACCAGTGGCAGTGTTTAGAGTTACGACTGAAACCAGAACCTGTTAATGGACTGATCAGGTCTTTCGACATCCAACACTGAAACGAGACTACTCCCCTTAGGTTCCTAGGGTTCCCGGACCTTGGGGAGATGGGGAGTTGTCGCGGAATAGGATCACCCACAATATGGAGGAGTGGAGACTTGAGCCAGCAATTGGAAAAGCGAGGAGTGATGCCCAGATTTTGGATCCTAAACTGATGGAGATCCGTACTGACTGTGTGGCCCATCTTCCATGTGCCATGATGACCGCTGCCTCCAGTTGCTCACTGGCTATCAGAGGGCAGGGATTCTCTGTTTCATTCTCTTATGCGTCCATAGTGCCGAGAGCTGTGCTGGGCACCATGTAGGTACTCAGTAACTATTTGTGGAATGAATGAACTTCCCATCTGGCACTGTCCTGGCAAAGTTACTAAAAATGTAGAACTTAGCCACTTTTGCACAGTTTGTACCTTGCTGCTGCAGGTGCCTACTGAGGACACAGGAAGTATGAGAACAGCAATGTCTGGGAACTCTTGACTAGGTTTGGTAGGCACAATCCTCAGCAGCAAATAGTAGATAACGTTTTATTTGTAAGCCAAATGAAACCCATCTTTTCCCAAGTCAGGCCAACCTGGACTGGGTGTAGGGCTGTAATGAAGCCATCTCAAACCACACGAGCTGAATCACTACTTCCCCCCCACTGCCCAGCTGAGGATGATGTCAACATAGTTAGCAACCTGTAAGGCAGCATACATTTTATAAGTAAATGAAAGAAAATGCAAAAAATGAAAGTAAATGAAAAATAGAAATATGTGTATTTCTATAAATCAGAATGTAAATGAAAATTAAAAATATTTCTTTTCTACTCACTAATGTACACTATAGATCATGAAACTGCTTACAGTGTAATATAACTTACAAGGCAAAATATTCTTTAAACCATTCTAATAACTTCTAATCATTACTGATTATTGGAAA